GAGGTGCATTAACTTTAAATTTCCAGGGGAGGGAATACATTAACCCTGGAATTTCCAGGGGAGGGAATGCATTAACCCTGGAATTTCCAGGGAAGGGGGCATTCAGGCTCTGGATTTCCAAGGGGAGGAGTAATTCTCACATGGAATTTCCAAAGGGAGGGGTAAATTTGATGGGATATGTTAGAGGCAAATTTCCGGGCATAAATGTCCCATGATGGAAATTCCAAAGGGAGGGGTAATTTACACATGGAAATTCCATGGACAGGGCCAAATTTTAAATGGAAATTCCATGGGGAAGGCCTAATTTAGAATGGAAATTCCATGGGGAAGGGTAATTTTTACAAGGAATTTCCATGGGAAGGGGTAAATTTTACATGAAAATTAGGGGTGCACCGGATTTGGAATTTTCAAATCCGGCCGGAACCGGATTTACCGGATTTGGACAAAAATTCCGGTCGGAATTCCGGCCGGATTTGAAATAAACCAATAATGGGGACAATTGTGGATAAATCAGTATTCAAAATGGCGGTTTATGTTTTTTACTATTTTTAGTTAGTGTCAGTTTAGATTTTTGATTGTGTTTAAACCTTTTTTAAATATTTTTTTGTTAATAACTTAATATTTTATAATAATATAAGTGTTTTTTAAACTTTAAAGCTGCCAAATTGATGGTTTATCCCATTTTTTAAGGTGAAAACAGAAATTTAAATCCGGCCGGATTTTCTCCAAATCCAGCCGGATGCCGGAAAATTCGTTAAATCCGGCCGGAATTCCGGCCGGATTTGAAATCCGGTGCACCCCTAATGAAAATTTGCGGGAATTTTAGGGGAGTACCAACATGAGAAAGGGGTTCCTCAACAGGGGGGGTGGGGGTGCGGATAATAATTGGAATAGCCCAATCAACCAACATTACCCAACAATGCATATTATTTTGCATCTTTCAGTATGACAAGCAAACCTATAATACTAACCATAGCATCACTTTTACTCAAAGCTTGAGTTTCAACTTCATTTGTAAGTATTTCACTGGTTTGGCATGAACCATCCTGGACAGACCTATAGAAGGGAACAACACACACTAACCTGAGTATCAGGCTCTATTTTACCCCCTTCGCCCACGATCAGGCATGCCTGTGCCCTAAAAAGTACGGCCTGATACTCAGGTTAAACCATTGAACTAAAAATAACTGGAACGCTACGTTCAGTAAACTGCGCATGCAAATTTTGAAGCCAAAATTTGACTCCCATGAAGCCAAATGAAGCCAGTTTTGACTCCCAGACACGCACTTCCACGCGTGTTTCTACTGCGCGATTTACTCGCGAGACAATACAGGGGGCGCTTGAAGCATGCCGTTTTGAACGTTTTCATGTCAAGATGCGAATCGAAAGGGAAACGGGCCTTTTCAGTTTAAAACGGGCCTTTTCAGTTTAAAACGGGCCTTTTAAAGCCTGTGTACGAGCTTGTATAATTTAGCTTCAAACTTCCGCTTGAACGTAGCGTTCCAGTTATTTTTAGTTCAATGGGTTAAACACACACGTACTACTCTACCAAACTTAGTAATTTTGCAAAAATACATTTGGTACAGTACATAATTTTGTAAATACCCCGGGAATATAAGAATTAATTTCAGTCACTTCCTATTGACAAAAACCCGAAGCAACCACACCATTACAAACTAAAACTAACTACTTCACAAGCCTTGTTCATTAATTATAAAACTTTCAAAACAAAACTACTTTCTGCACTACAAACACTTTCGCTTCAAAACATCACAATTTATTTTTATACCGTTTTGTCTTCCAAGAAGAGTCGAACGAAACTGGCTCTTGGCTTTCGTCTTGAAACATTATATCACAGTCCTTTCACTATCACTTCTAAACAAACATTTCTACAGCAAAATTGCAGTTTTTGCTCAGCTTTGAATATTTAAATTTTAAAAAACTATTTTCTCGTTGGAAACCAAAACAACAAAACACGGTGGCGGAGCCCGCGGTTGTATAAATTTTCCCGCGCTTTATAATTGTTCAAAAAATTTTGTTTTAACACTCGAAAATAATCACTTTTACGCATAGTGGGATTGAGTATATTTTCCTGAAGTACTAATAGTTAAATTTGTGCTAAAAAACGTTTGCAAATTACAAGAAAATAGTTCAATTCTCTAATAATTTGAGAATTTAAATTTTTTTGCGATTGAATCAATACGTCATGTTAGATAAATGCACGAAGACAGCAAATCATTCATTAAAATAGGTACATGTTGCGTTCATAGAAAACATGTTTTCAGATCTTCATAGAGCTTGTACTTTAGCTAAAATTGTAAAAATAGGATAATTCCCATTTCTGGAATTTTATTCACAATGGGAATTTCTACAAAATATCACTACAAATTTATCTTATTAATTTTACAGCTCAAATCCTATCTTTATTTGAGTTATTGCATGTTCCGTAAAATACAATCATAAAACATTGGGGAATTCTTATGCAGTTAAATAACGAGACGGCCTCCTGACTTTCCCAGCCATACAAACCGTAGTAACAGGCTTAGCCGTACTATTCAATTTTCTCACAACTACAAATGCATAATGTAAATAATTATTGCTATCAAAATCTATCACCTAAGCCTGATTTAAATATTATAGGTCTAAATTCTCGTCAGTCCCCATACAGACAACAGTTTTTCCCCGATATGTTTTCTTGACAAGAAGCTTTCACGATAAAACACGACAGAGAAAACTTGCTTGTCTATATGGGGTAATACTGAACCGTCTGACCTCGAGGTTGTTTGACGACGAATGCTCTACAAAAATTCAATGTCTATTATTCTTCTAAATTGAGCAGATCATCGTCTAATGGTAATAGATCATCATCATCTTTATCATCACCACTGTGATCATCATCATCATCATCATCATCATCATCATCACTATCATCACTGAATAACGATCCTGCTCCTGCTTCGATAATGAAACCTGTTTCACCACCTTCTTCATCTGTGTTTACCTGAATCATACAACAAGATTGATCAGAGTATAGAAAGAAAGATGATATAATATGCCAACAATTAGCCTTTCTCACGCCGCCAGTTTTAGGTGGCATTTCAGCCGAAGTGTGCGAGATAAGTCCACATAACAGAGACTTTTTTCATGCTTGACAACAGAAAAATATCTAATGAGCACCTTCTTATAACGATATGAAGCTTGATAAGAGGGTTTACAGCAAATATATTTCCGAATATGCCACCTCAGCCATAACGCAGCTGTCTCTCTAAAACACAAAGACACACAGATAGGCAGATAGATACATCAAAAAGCAGGTAGTTAAATAACTAGGCATGTATGTAGGTAGGTAGGTAGGTGGGGATAAGAAGGTGGGTAAGTAGGTTTTAGATTGTAGGTAGGTAGTTCTGACAATATTATACCTTTTCTGTGGTTTACAAGCAAAAAATAAGATAGCAGCAAGAAGGCCAATGCCTGTCAACGTTCCAATAACTGCGAGCGCTGATTTCGACACGGAACGTGAGAAAGTCTTGGAACAACTGGATATCCTGCAATTGACAAGTTATTTTTGAAGTTTCTAGATTTAAGATAACTATGTTTAGATTTAAGCTAATTTTGTTTATTCTGAGTAGCTTTATCAGGTCTAAATTATTGTCCAGAGAGGTCCAGCAAATATCATCCCTTATTGGTAATGTGACTACAAGAGGAAACAGGAATTAAACTTCAATGAGAATAATTCATGAGAAAAACACAAAGAAAAATCATAAGCGTGTCGTATATTTATATGTGATAGAGATTTCCCTTGATTTACATAAACTTTAACTTTGATTTTCTCGACTTACACAACGTATTTTTTGAAAATTACTTCGCCAACGCGCTTAAACAACAAACTTACAACGACAAAAATTACTTGAACAACAAACTTACTCGGCTTCGCCTGGTTTCTTTATATCTAACACTGCTGCTCATGTTTTAACTATAGTACTTCAGGCTTTGTGTGATTGAGGCTAAATTATACGCAGACAACTGCATATTGCAGGACCTCAATCGTAGAACTGCATGTGCATTGACCACTGGGCCAGAAACAATCTAAAATACACGCTTGCCGCATATATAGTTACCTCGTTGAGTGACAGACGCTAGTTGTCGCCCACAGTAATGATATATGTAAGCTGCTTTCTGTATTCGACCCTGTAGGTTCGCTATCATTCTACAGGAACGACAAAATAATAACATTTATCAAAGAAAAAGACCAAAGATCGAAAGATATTTCGAAAGTGTAAACACGCCTTCAGATTACGCATGGGCATTGATGTATGGACCGATGTAATGATATATGCCTGGTAAGCACTACAAGAATCAGGCCCTACCACTAACGCCCGTTCATATGAGCCCAGCGAATCGGGAAATTCACCCAAGTGAGATCTGCATGCCCTTTGTTTAAGGCACAGTTCAGCCTTTTGAATGATGGTTTTTAAGGCGCATTTCAGCCCTTTTAATTGAAAAAACTAACTAGGAAAATCAATTAAGCATAATTCAAGATCAGCAAACTTAATGTTTTAACATTTTAAAACATTTTTATTGTTAAAAACATTGAGTTTACTAATCCTGAATTATGCATAATTGATTTTGCTAGTTAGTTTTTTCAATCAAAAGGCTGAACTGTGCCTTTACCACATAAAAAAATAAATTTGTGTTCATAAGAGAAACGAGCCTGGCTAGGTAAGATATCAACTTGCGCTAGGTGGGATCTCAGTAAAGTGAGATAAAATTTTCAACGAGGTTCTTGGACACAGAATAAAGACATACAGAAGTGTATCTTCTTATTAAAAGTGCGTAAGGGATTTTTTCAGTCCGCCATGTTCTTAGCAAGTGCCCTAAAGAGAGGCAGTCACCCCCCTGAAAACATATTGAAAATTTAATATTCCAGGCGGGTGAATGCCTCTCTTTAGGGCACTTGCTAAGAACATGGCCGCCAGCTATTTCGGTAAAAAGCGCCTTACGGTTTTGTAATGGAAGTTACACTTCTGTATGTCTTTATTCTGTGTCTTGGTGTTCCACTTACTCCACAACTCAATGTGATATCAATTCCGCGTATCTTAGAAGTCACGGTACAATTGACATTCAGCTCATACTTGTCGTCTGAAATAAACACAAACAATTTTTAAAATGGCAGTCAAGTTCTGCCCATGCGCGTGTTTAGTTTACATATTTTGTTTCAAACAAACAAAAAAATCAATTAAAATTCCAAGATCTGTGGACCCACACGCTAGCAAAAAGGACTTTACTACTACTGCTTCAAGTTTCTTGACGCAATTGATATTGCATGAAGAAATGTTAAATTTTGAGGCCCCTGCTGTACTGGTACTAGCTAAATAACGCATCCTTAAAACATACCGTACGCATAAACTTCAACATTGTTTCCTAGCTGACAAACGTCTCCGTACTTCTTTTGTAGTCTAAAACAGAAACGATAAGAGACTGTCTCATCAGAGAACAATACAAGCAAACAAGATGCCAAACCGTTCAGCATATACTGGTAGACAAGGAATACAATGCTTTCATTTTCTCGTGATCAACTGGTTGATAAGCACTTACTTATTTTTCACGGGGATTAAGTCCAGTTCACAATCAAAACTTCTATCGTCATAAAATGTCCAATCATCTCCATTCCGTTTCAGAGGAGTCCTGGATAAATACAATTCAGTAATCAATGTGTAATCTTGGCTGTGTCGGGACTGCAGCAGTTAGGTAGGTACCAGGAGAGCCACTACCTCAATGGTCTTAAGCCGATGAGATCAAACGAGGATGAGAGTGCATGAGAGTTGGCATGAGTCACGCGATTAAGTTAAAACCATAGATATCTCTATATACATTAGATAGGGCATCTCATTATTCTGCAATTCAAAAATTGAAAACGTGATTGCAGACTCAGGATATTCCCATGAAATGAGAAGATTCGTATGTTTTTTTATTTCTTAAACAGGGAACTTAAACATTAAGTTACACCTATTCCAAATACATTTATAAACTATTCAAATGATGAAAGTTATTGTTGTTTTTTAAGCGTTTATTAGCGAGTGGGAACTACCAACATGGCCGCCATCTATTCAAATGGGGGTAACCGCTGGAATATTATTGGCTTCAATTTTACTAAAAGAGATGCGCTATCTAGTGTATATAAGATATCTATGGTTAAAACATAGTTGGAATATACTCATCCAACCTTTATTTTGTTAATCTAGAGCTTGAAATGTCCCAGGTGACACTGCGTGACTGACAACTCTCATGCTCGTTTGATCGGAGATTAAGGAAATAGCTTCAAATTTAAATGTCAAAATATGCGATTCAAAAACTTTGAATTATGAATCCTTGAGATGAAGGTCAACATCAAAACCATGTGGAGGGGGTGAAGCTAGCTAGCTATTATCTAAACTTGGGTAAATGCCTATCAACTTCGAAATTAGTCTAAAATTAAGGCTAAAGGGGTTGATTTCAGGATCCATTCTCACCCCCAGGCTACTAATTTTCGGTCGCTTGGTGGTCCCCAGACCCCATGCTCTATCTCCACTCAAAAGTACAACCTACAGGCATGATCTTAAGTGAGCTCTCTTGGCTATGTTATAGATTGAGTGGCTATTTCTACCATCTTGTAAACACTGTTTAGTAT